ACTTTCACCTTCTGTGACGACTTCAACAAGGATACAAAGTCTGCAACAAATCTGTATAATAAGTCATTAGTGAATGCCAGAGAGTCACATGAGTGAGCATGAGGAATTACAAGAAAATGTGTAATGAAAATAAAATGTAAATGACAAGTGGTTATTTTTGTTTTCTTGTACACATGTCTTAAAATGTAAGGGATACTGGAGCTTGGTTGGGGTGGTGGGGTGGCTCGCGGTGAGTACCGGAAAATTTCCCATATTTTCAAATCCAAAACTTGACAGGTACTGTATGACTTATACACTGTATCCTGAATGTATGACAGCATGAATACGTATTTCTAAAAGACAAGTCGGCTTTGCAGTCTAGTTTCCTTTGTTGAATAAAAAGATGAATGAAGAAAACGTCTTTTAACTATCTGAATGATAGAATATAAGTTAGCTTATTGGTTTAAGAAGATGTAAATATATATCACTATCAATAGTATATGATCTTATCAACAAACATAAATCAGCAAATACACTAAAACGACTAGTTCACCTAGATGACAAAACCTGAGTACCACAATATAACCACTAAACAGGCAAAACTGTGATTTTAGGACCACAACGAAATTACAGTGTTTTCCTGTAGAATATTAAACTGGATTCTGACAGATTTTGGAAATGTGTACTGGGAAGTTCACCTGAACTGACCAATCCGAAATTTTCATTTTAGGCTATCAAACCTGTTTGATAATACAGATTTGGCGTAAGATTTCTTGCGTAAACGTGAGAGTGCCACGCCAGATGCGCTGAGAGTTGGTAGCCCTGACTAAACACTGCACCACCGCCCAACCTTCATATGCAAGACAGTCCGTTTTAAATGTAATAGGCCTATATAATACGTAATTGTCATTGTTTCACATCGTATTCTTAACTTTCAGAGAACCGGTTTGGAAACCTTTCTTATAAAATTATTATCGTATTAAAAACATGGTGAGCTTTTTTATTCTTGATTTTGTCTCTAAAGGTAACGGTAACCTATATATATGCCGAACACTTAAAGGACTTCCCCTTTTCAAATATAATTCCGTTGTTCTTACCCGTAGGAAATCACATGTTCATATAGCGACACTGGGAAAGAGCGTAGACATTGTTGTTACACGTGTCTCAAAGTGACATCGAATTCTTTTGAAAATCCCGCCCCGTTTCCGTTATACCGTATCCGCCCATGTTGCATTCACGCTGGCGTTGGCGCGACGCGCTGTCAATCACCGGTCGGTGGGCGGTCCGCTCCCGTTTGTCAACAAGCCGTTTCGCCGGAGTGACATCAGCGGTTCCGTCCCAACACGGAAATATGGCTTAATTGTTGTGATCAGCGCTGCGTGCTGCGTGGGAAACTGTAACTCCGCACCCCCTTAGCGAAAAGCCCGAAATGCTTCTGCGGAGTAACGAAACATGAACTCAAGATCTGCACTTTTACAGACAATAATACCTTTCTGATTGAATGCATATGAACTTTAAAAATTATAATTTAACTAACTATACGAAACAATTGTTTCGGAAAATGAGAGATACGGGACTGTGGCTTTTGGTGTCCTTATTGATATTACTTGGTGGAAACGTCCGGCAGGTAAGGAGTACCGCTTGGCGACTGGGCTTCATACTGTGACTGAAAGTTTCCCCTCAGTACGAGTGAGACTCGGAGTATATATAGAGTTCATCTATTTATGGAACCGCGGACGGGATAATGTTAGAAAGCCGAGAGGAGCGAGCTGAAGTGTACACAGTACAGTTGTCCGTGATTATCTTGCTCATTATATAACCCAATTAAAATAAATATAAAGATTGCATTTAGTCCAGTGAATGCATGGGGATAGCACACTTGTCGTTTTACGTTTATGTGGAATATCTATGTTGTTTAGGTAACAGCTCCTCGCTTCTGAAATACATTGGTACCTTGTTCCCCTGTAATCCATCATAGTATTACATAGTATCTCACACGAGCTCAGAAGCAGTTGCAGTGTCAGTGGATTCAGTGCCATTTCTAACACTTGTGCTTTTCTGCGGAAGTGACATTTTTGCTGTAGTCCTTTATTTCTGGTGCTGGTCAGTCGCTGGTCATTATGCACCAGCAGCGGCTTTGTGGACAAGAAAGATGCTGGAACCATTACCATTGTTGGAGAACAACGGTTTATTGTTGTCCTTTCTGTTACCGTGCATTGTTTGTGCATGTGTATTGAATTATGTGTGTAAAGGCATACTGTACAAAATGTGTGACAGGGATAATTTTAAACAAAGAGTAAGAAGTATTTGCTCGAGCATTTGCTCGTTATCAGACATAATCTAGAGCAAGTGAAATGGTTGTGGTGAGGGATGAGTTGATCCTTTTTACAGAAGTACTGTATAATGCAAAAGTAGTTGGGATCGATAATGTATATACGTTAAAGGCGTAATAAATATTAAGGATGTGTACAGTTCAGGGTGCTCTACCCATTATGCTTTGCTCACTGGATTTCCCCCAGTGTATAGCAGTGTGAAAGGGATACTGTTTGCTGGCCATTAAATGTTTTAATACATTACGAATCTTTATTTGTGAACCAATAAAATGCCCAAGCGATACACCAAGGAGCAGTTGGTGTTTGCTAAAAACACACCCTGTAGTGTAATCTAACTGTCACCCCAGTACTTGGTTTCTTTTGCCAACCTTTAGTAAGTAAATATGGGTGCGGTACCTACCCCAGTGTTGTATATTAGACACCTGTTGTATGTCTTCAAGTTCAGACTTTTACTCTGACTCCAGCAAGAGAAATGCAATTTACTAAATATCCCATCTCCTCCAAACCCAGCACGGCTTGTTATGTGTTCTCTTCTTTTTTGTCATTCCTCTGTGTTTGATGACAGGGGACGACACTTGCACACATTTGGATCTGTGCGAGGAGTGAAATATGTAAACCGATACTTTGGAGAGTCACGGGGACAGAGCCCCCCACACACTTTAGCCAAAGAGTTGAGGAGAAAGTTCAGTCGGGGTGGACAGTTTGGTTGGTTTTTAAGCTACTGCCATGTGATTTCTGCCCAATTAGAAGCCTCTCTCCAGCTAAGCAGCACAATGGACACACTTTCCTGTCAATAACCACAGAATCATGATTTCACATTGACTTTAAAAAAAATTCGCCAGGTTCGTCTGCAAGGGTGCGGCAGCGGAGACGCACCGTGGGGCCTGCTGTGGATCCTTGAATCTGAGGGATGGTTTGCTGGTGCTAGATGTCAAGTAACCGCCCCTGACAAGCAGGGGGACTGTAAATGTTTCTGGTCCAGGATATCCTGTTTTAGGTAAACAGCTCTTGCAGTGTGTGACCAATCAGGACTCACCATGTTGGGTAATACTTGCAGATCCGTCTGATGCAAACAGAATTGTGTTTGCCATGTCAACACTGGTGCGGTATGTATGAACTGTATGTATGTGTGAGTGTATGTTTGTATGTGTGAATGTGTTTATATGTGTATGTATGTATGTGTATGTGCATGTGTATGGACTATATATGTATATATGTGTGTGAATGTATGTGTTTCTGCAATGCCCCCCCCCCCCTTTGCATGAGGCTCAGGAGTTAGTTGTAACCTTCCAAGGATTCTGCTTACTGAATGGCGCGTGTATGTGTGTGTGCGTGTTTGTTTTATAACAGTAGGTGTATAACGATTCTCCAAATCAATGGTTCGGTTCAGACCTTGATTTTTGAGCCACAGGGCTGTTCATGCATTTTTTGGGGGGGGTAATGAATATGAAAAAACTTGGAGAAAAATCTGGGTTTTATTAATCACCAGCAATTTGGAACGGTACACAGAAGATCAGTAAAGAACAACTTTACAGAAAATAACAGCGTAAACAAAAATACTTAAAATAAAACACTGTACTCTAGTGAATGTCCAAAATCCAGCTGACTTGAATGCGCCTGATTGCTCCCCAAGGTTATTATCTATGTTCAGCTAAGGAAACTAGCCTAGCTATTACCACGGGCATGATCATGATTGGACCAAAAATACTGTTGTCACTGTTGTACGAATAAAATAGGTGTAATGTGTGAATTATGCAAAATATACAGCTGGCCCTAACTGTAAATAGAATAATTATTTTGTAGTTTACATGTGTTACAGTGTTAATTGATAAATGAAAAATTTAAGTTTTGTAACATCAGTAGTATGATCAGAGCTGTAGCTACATCAGTGGGTTCGAGTATTGGGGGGGCGGGGGGGGTGAATATCGTGGTTCTGTCTTCCAGATGCCAGACATGGAACTGTAAATGTTCGCATCTTGGTTTAGAGATACACTTTATCTCAGGGGTCTCAAACTCCAGTCCTGGGGGGCTGGAGCCCTACACAGTTTTTGGTTCACCCTCATGTAAAACACCTGATTCACTTCCTTGTTCTAATTACCACACAGCTCTTGAGCTGAATCATTTGTGGTGGAACAGGGAAAGAACTAAGCTACACAGGGCTCCAGCCCCCCAGGACTGGAGTCTGAGATCCCTGCTTTATCTCATTCTTAATGATTTTATTATCTACTTATCTATCTCCTTGTCTGTCTTCTCAGCCATCAGTTGATCAAACATTCAATGATACAAATCCATTATCAGTCCTGACATTTATATACATCTATTTGCTGCATGATTTGGTGTCTCTTTATGTTATTGCGCTTACGCCCAGTTATTAATCTGCTTTGTGATGCTTTTTCCCTTCGGTTGTTTCATCCGGTGTGTGGCTCAGCAGGTTAAAACACAGTGTCTGTGATCAGAATGCTTTAGGTTTAAATCCCAGGATTGGCAGAGTGGTTTTCTGGCTGACCCTGCTTACACAAATGTAAATCACTATGGATCAAAATATCTGATTTAAAAGTGAGAATGTAAACCCTGCGTATCTGCAAAAGCTTAAACCGCACTTACATCTGTGTACTGAGGTCAGTACTGATTCACACATTTGATTCGCTGGTGGCTGGAGTCAGTCTCCCAGCATTTGTTGTCTGGTTCTGAGTTTGGGATTCAGGATGGATTTCAAGTAAGGGGCCAGTCCTAGGCACCTGGTTAGTCAGGGAGGGTGTGGATCACAGTCCACAGATACTGAGTGGCTACATCTGCACTCCGGGTGTCACTCTGCCATAAGAGATGCTCAAAATAATGTCCTCTATGTGAGTAGAAGCTTCATCGCCCAAAACGGGAGTGCACTGCGCCAACACGGTAACCATAACGACGGGCAGAGTGTGCCTGCAGTTCGACCTTCAGTGGGAGCCAGGCCTCCCCTGCTGACACGCATGTGAGGTGGAGCGATTGTTTCCTATTAGACAATGCTTTCTCACAACAGGTTTCCATCCAGGTCGAATCAGTTCATAATTTAAAAAAATGAACATGGCAATTGCTTGCCGCAGTAATGAAAACAACGAGGGCGTTTGTGATGTATTCTTCTGTGCGGTTGTCTGTTATTTCAGCAGTGTACATGCGGAATAGGTTGTAATTAGTCTTAATTTCCGTTCTATCAGCGCTTATGAAATTTGACAGTCTGTTTTTATGGAAATGTTTGACAAATGATAAATTCATGATAATTATGTTAATGCTAGTTTGTGATCATTTTGAAAAATATCATGCCTTTTCACTGGTGCACATTAATCTGTGACAGGATCAACCTGCACAACAGATGTGGCTCCATATCCCACTCATTTTAATGGCAGAATGAATGTTTGGAAGTGAAATACACAATCCGACAGCTCAAAATGAGGAAAGACCATTTTAGACTCCTTGACTCGGCAGTTGAGTGTTTGGGTGATTATATGGAAAGAGAGTTTCCTTGTCCTGCAGATAACTATGTCTGGCATCATTTTCCCTCTGATTAATTCTGGCACTTGTCATTGTCAAACATTGTCAAAGTGTGGTTTTTGAAATGGTATACTTATTTTCCTTTTATTTCTTGCCAAGGACTGAGTGGACACCTTCATGAGGTTAACACATCACACAGATCCCCCATCCTTATTTTATGACCAGCGAATGACAGCTGTAATGATATAAAGGCCTGACTCCCATCTCCGTCTCTCTGATGCCTTGTCTCTCGGTCTCTGTGAACAGTGTGACTCTGCGAGCTCCGTGACCCTCCCAGAGTCCCTGCTATTCGTGTCCACGTTGGACGGGAACCTGCACGCAGTCAGCAAGCAGACTGGAGAGATTAAATGGACGCTCAAAGAAGGTCAGATCAGAATTCTACTCATAATTATCATTTCATCCAAGTACAGAACCAATAGAATACTTACAAAAAACCACACCTTTCCCCTGCCCTTTTTCCAGATCCCATCATCCAGGTTCCCGTCTACTGGGATGAGTAAGTCCCTTAATGAACTCCTTCACAGCTAAACACAAGCATCAGTACAGTAATGCCTCTGGTAGCAATGGTATCCCCCAGTGGATCAACTTGTAAATAAGGAACACATCAAATGTTCTTGTCATATTTAATGACTATTATGTGCTGTTCAGATCTGGCTTCCTGCCAGATCCCAACGACGGGAGCCTCTATGTGCTGGAAGGCAGGAATAAGGAAGGTCTGATGGTGAGTGGGACCTGCCCATGCTGTCAATGGGCGAAGGAATCGTGGGAGAATCCTGCACTCTTCTCAAGGGTGTGTGCTTGCTCTAACATGCCGGGGTCGTTTTCCCTGTCTCTCTCCAGAAGCTGCCGTTCACCATCCCAGAGCTGGTGCGGTCATCTCCTTGTCGGAGCTCAGATGGAGTCCTCTACACAGGTAGAGCTTCGCACGTGTCTGTGGACGTCACTTGTTCCTCCACATAGTGGGTCACCGTCTGTTCATGTGTTCTACAGGGAAGAAGCAGGACACATGGTTCGTGGTGGACCCTCAAACGGGGGAGAAGCAGACCAGCCTGACCACGGGGTCTTCTGAATCGGTCTGCCCCTCTACCCCCCTCCTCTATATTGGCCGCACAGGTATGACCTACCCTCTACACATATGTAGCTGCCTCGATGATCTCTGTGCCTCTGGTATCTCTGTGAGGACACAGGGACACTGGAGACACATTGCTTGGCATATCCAAGTGCGCTCTTCATGGATTGAAACATTTATGGCGCTAACAGTATCATACAAGAGGCTACCAAAGAATTGTATTGTGTTTAAATTGTAACTTGTGTGTCTGTCAATGTTCCATTTCAAAACCTGTGTTTGACATCCACCAGTGAAGTATTGGGGAAGAGCTGTTGAGATAGGAAGGGACACAACTTATATTCTTTCATGAAGCATGTGGCTGTTTTGTCTCTCTTCATGTGTGTTTGGGGAGTTGGGTCTGCATTAAAATGAGGTTGTGTTGTGTTCAAACCTCTCCTCAAGTAACCCCAATTACTACCCAGTATACCCATGTGTAACTTTGTTGAACTTGACCACTAACTTATCTCATTTGGCTAATTGATACTTCATTAAGTTAATGAAGTAATTAAACTAATTTACAGTTTATTTGTATATATCTTAATGTTAAGTGGTATGTTTCTGGCCAAATACAGGTTTAATTGGTAGATAAATAGTTTTTGTCAGACGTTTTCACGTGACGCTCTTTTTGCCTGTATCTTTGGTGTGTCTCTAGAATACATGATCACCATGTATGACACCAAGACGCGGGAGTTGCGCTGGAACGCCACATACAATGACTACTCCGCCCCCGTGTACGACGACAAGTACAACTACAGTACGTCCGGACATCTGCTGTGACCGCGAGCGCGGAGTGTGCTAGTATTAAAGCGCGCTGTGTTTGACACAATATCGAATCATTGAGCATCACTCAAGGCAGTTCAGTGGTTTTGGCTGCTGATCTCTTGGCTCTTTGAAATGTCTGGAGTGGAGAGGCTTGTCCACAGAGGATAGGGAGATTATTATTGGTGCAGATGGAAGCCTGACATCATTGGTGTCGTGGGGCCATGGTAGGTGGGTATATTGTTATATTGTATAACTGCGTATACACGCTCCGATGACTGATACGCATTTCTGACCATTTTTAGGTAGGTAAACGGTAAATGCATTATTTTAGAGGTGGGTATATGCCATACAGTGCCCTCCACAATTATTGGCATCCCTTGTAAAGATTTGTGAAAAGGGTTAGAAAAAAATCCACCTTTTGGTGAAGCAGCTTCATGTCACACTGAAAAATTGAGAAAAATCCAACCTTTCATTAGCATAAATTTATTCCAAGAAAAAAAATCCATCAAGAAATAATTATCTTTAACAAAACACATGTGCCACGATTATTGGCACCCCTGGAAATTATAGGCATTAAACATTAGGTGGGTTTGGCGTAAAAAGAACAATGGCTATAATGTAATGAACCTTATCCCAAATGCAAAATATGGTGGAGGTTCTGTGATGTTGTGGGGCTGTTTTTCCTCATTAGGGTACATGACATTATGGACTCCATGAAATACCAGGACGTTTTATATCAACATTTGGCTGCCTCTGCCAGGAAACAAAAACTGGGCCATCATTGGATCTTCCAGCAGGACAATGATCCTAAGCACATGTCCAAATCAACATAGAAATGGTTAGCTGACCGCAGAATCAAGCTTCTGCTATGGTCATCTCAGTCCCCTGACCTGAACCCCACTGAAGAGGAGAGTGCATAAGAGAGGGCCGAGGACCCTGGATGACCTGGAGAGATTCTGCAAAGAGGAATGGTCTCAGGTGCCCTGCTTGGTATTCACCAACCTTATAAAATGTTATAGGAAAAGATTCAGTGCTGTTATACTGGCAAAGGGAGGCTGTACAAAGTATTAAAAGCAGGGGTGCCAATAATCGTGGCACATGTGTTTTTGTTAAAGATAATTATTTCTTGATGAAGGATTTTATTTTTCGTGGAATAAATTTATGTTAATGAAAGGTTGGATTTTTCTTAATTTTTCAGTGTGACATGAAGCTGCTTCACCAAAAGGTGGATTTTTTCTAACCCTTTTTACAAATCTTTACAAGGGGTGCCAATAATTGTGGAGGACTCTGTATATCTGCATATACCCACCATCACCCGTCCGACTGACATTCCCCAGTACAATATTAGGGAGGAGCCATTGATATAGGAAGGGAAACAAGTAATATTCCTTCACGAGGCATGTGGGTGTTTTGTGTCTCTGCATGGGTGTTTGGGGAGTTGGGTTTGCATTAAAAAGGGGTCAAATATCTCCACCTAAACCATGTGTTTGTGTTGTGTGCCATGAACTCCTGTACCAAAAGAAATGGCTCACTTTGCGTCCAGCGGAGATGGGCTGATGGTGACAGTGGACCGGGACTCGGGCGACGTTCTGTGGATGCAGAACTATGGCTCGCCTGTGGTGGGAGTGTACCTGTGGATGCAGGATAGCCTGCGCCGTGCCCCGCACCTCAACCTGGCTATGGAGACGCTCCGCTACCTCACATTCACCTCCCAGCACATCCACACCATGAGGTGGAGCTACCAGTTTGTCAAGGAGCAGGCCAGCACGAAGACTCAACTCGTGTAAATCACAGTGTGTTTATTTCGCATTGGATTGTGGCACTGGGTTGTTAAAAATTGTATAAATATACCTGCAACTCTTTTTCTGCAGACCTACACTCTATGTAGGAAAACTCAACTCCCATTTTTATGCTTCTACATCATTGGTGCATGAGGGTGTGTCTATATTGGTAAGTTTGTAAACCTACAGTTGGTAGGATTGTCATTTACTCAGCAACAGGGACAACAAATGACACCTTATTCCCAATGCAGCCTCGTGGTCTTACGCTGGCCAGGATTGAGGGGCCAACGACCGAGGAGGTCACTGTAAGAGAGCGGGGCGAGTGCGCCATCACACCCAGCACGGACGTCAAGTACCCAGCAGGAAGCAGCCATAGCATACACAACCAATGGTTGCTCATCGGTAGGTCTCGGAGCAGATCGGTACAGCCCACGTTTGAAAAACAACAGCAATTAGGTGTATATCTGTGTGGTGGTTTTATCGCTAATTAACTGCAAGCTTAGAATAACACACTGAGTTGTGGTTACACATGATATGATCACATGACTCAAATGTTACAGAATAATTATAGAAGAGGATCTGCTATGTAGTTGTAGGAATGTTGATACTTGATATATGAAGCCTGATTTGCACCAACAGGTCACCATGAGCTGCCTCCCATGGCCCACACCACCATGCTCCGGGATTTCCCAGAGAACCTTCAGCATTCCGGTGAGGCGGTTATCCCACCGCAGTCCGGGTCCCGCGCTCCGAACCACCAGGTTGGTAGTGCTCACCTGCACCCGGACCTCCACGAAAGACACTCGGGTTCTTAACCAGATCTTCTTGCTCCATAGCAGCTTCCAGAGAACAAGGAAGGAGATCCCATTCTGGTGGACAGGGATTCCCGGGGAGCCGGCAGCCTGCCACTGAGAGCCATTCTTCCTGAGAGTGTTATCCAGGACCCCTTCACTCTAGCAGTGCTTACTCTGCTGGTGGGGGGCTGGCTAGCTTTTGTGCTCACCTATCCACGGGTGAGTTCTGACTTACAGTCAGAAGCAAACTAATCTCATGGCTATTCATGTTACCCAAGTACATGTGACCATATCATGCAAACACATCTGTACGGTATCGCCTTGGGTATGGAAGCGCATGGCCCAACAGGAGAAGATTCAGCAGCAGCAACTGGAAGAGGTCCTGAAGTCCAGGCTGCAACAGCTTCAGGATCAGCAGGTCTCACCGTCACCCACCGAGACAGCGGGTCCCCGCAGCAGCAGCGACGGAAGCAGACACAGCTTTTCCAATGGTTCTGCACAACAAATCTCTCTGCTGACCCCCGACACCCAAGAGCAAGGTGAACAAGCCAGGCAAGTCCTGACTGATACTCGATCGTGGCGATTATGGCGGCTTCATTCTGTCTTTGTCATTGCAGATGGACTTGGGGCAGGCGACATGGAGGTGGGGAAAATCTCCTTCAGCCCCACAGAGGTGCTGGGACATGGGGCAGAGGGCACCTTTGTGTTTCGGTGAGCGTCAAATTTTGGAAGTTGTCGGTTACTTTTGCCATTTTATGATTTGTCATAATTTCCTTGAAGGAAGCTGACAGTTTGCTCAGGCTTGGCAGCTCAATGCCGCCACATCCATCTGTACGTTGGTTACCCCGAGCATCTCCACACTCAGGGGCAGCTTTGACGGCCGGAAGGTGGCAGTGAAGCGCATCCTGCCCGAATGCTTCGACTTTGCGGAGCGAGAGGTGCAGCTCCTCCGCGAGTCGGACGAACACTCCAACGTCATTCGCTACTTCTGTACTGAGCGTGACCGGCAGTTTATCTACATTGCCATCGAGCTCTGCGCAGCGACCGTGCAGCAGGTACCCTTCATGAGTCACTTCCAAGTGTCTTGAGTTACTGAATACTCAGTGACTAATGAATTGCCATTAGTGTGACTGTGTCAGCATCTTACAATGGACTGGAGTCCTGTCCAGGGTGTACCCTATCTTGAACCTCGTTGTCCCTGGGATAAGATCTCAAGTGGTACATTTCTGAACAGATAAATGGTGGGTGTGTGACAAATGGTGGGTGTGTGATACAGATAACATACTAAGGATGTTCATCTGTTGTCTGCAGTATGTTGAGGACCCAGAATGTCCATATTTGAATCTGGACCCTGTGACTCTGCTACAGCAGACTATGTGTGGCCTGAGCCACTTGCACTCTCTCAACATTGGTGAGTTTTGTGCTCCGAGGACCTAGAAGACCTTTGGCATGGTTCATGCATCATCATTGCCTGTGGGCTTTTCCTTCACTGATTTGCCTCTCGGCATCCGCAGTGCACCGTGACCTGAAGCCACGGAATATCCTGCTGTCCATGCCGGGGCCACTGGGGAAGGTGCGAGCCTTGATCTCCGACTTTGGCCTGTGTAAGAAGCTGCCTGCTGGACGGCAGAGCTTCAGCCTACGCTCTGGGATTCCTGGTACTGAAGGCTGGATCGCCCCCGAAGTGCTTCTTGACCCACCCAGGGACAACCCGGTGAGGCTGGAGTGGGACAGTCACTGCAGCACCAAGGCACCGATGATATAGCTGAAAGGTCTACCTTTTGACATGAGGTAGAGCACATCATTGACCGTTAGGTCATCAGTCTTCTCCTTCTTCTCTGCAGACGAGTGCGGTGGACATCTTCTCGGCAGGATGCGTTTTCTACTATGTCGTCTCCAGGGGGCAGCATCCGTTTGGAAACTCCATTCACCGGCAAGCTAACATTCTAGCTGGCAGTTACATTCTGGGTCACTTCATGGAAGACCGTCATGGTGAGCACTAGTACATTGCTGTTTTTCCCAAATAAACGAGCATGACTTAGAGCCAATGATGAGGTACAGATACTTGCCCTGAATATAAGAAAAACCAAGTAGCATCCAGCCTTACCATTATAAAAAATGCTTTAATGAATGAAGATCTGAAACATTTTGCCTGACCTTCTGCACAGAGGATGTCCCTTACAGTTTGATCACTGGCTGAAATATAAAAACATCCTCTTCTGGACTGTTCCTCATCCCTCTTTTAGTTCTCTAAGAAAAATCATGTTGAATCTTCAAGGCTGCATGATTTTAATTATTGGAATATTGTAGTATTAAGAGCAATACTTTGCAAAGACAAGTTAGCCTGAGTGAGTTTCTTAAGTTTTGGCTTCACTTCTGTGTGGCTCCCATTAATATTGTCAATTTAACTAAGGAACAACTGCCATACAGAACACTATTAGAACATGTAAAATTACCTTTAACTTTAAAATTAAAAAGTAACTGGAACCCACAAAAGCGTGAATTGGGGTATGTGTACCCCTTCCTCAGACGACGTGATAGCCAGGGACCTGGTCGAGCAGATGATCAGCCCGGAGCCACAGTCCCGTCCGTCTGCTTCCTGCATCCTCAAGCACCCCTTCTTCTGGAGTCGTGAGAAGCAGCTGCAGTTCTTTCAGGTGTGGGGGCCGCTAGGGAGCTGCCCATCCCGTCGAAACGAAGCAAGTCGGTCTGTCTGAGCAGGAAGTTAGGCTACCTCTGCCCTGCAGGACGTCAGTGACCGGCTGGAGAAGGAGCCGGCGGACAGCCCCCTCGTACTGAGGCTGGAGTCGGCGGGCAGGGTGGTGGTCCGCACCAACTGGAGGATGCATATCTCAGTGCCGCTGCAGACAGGTGGGTGCGGTACACCCGACCACCAAGGTGCCAAGGTGGGAACATCATTCAGAGGCAGGACTGACCAGGTCTCCTGTGTCCCCCCAGATCTCAGGAAGTTCCGCACTTACAAGGGCAACTCAGTTCGAGATTTACTGAGGGCTATGAGGAATAAGGTTTGTAAGATGACGTCTTATAAGTTACGAAAGCCTGTTTCGTTGGAAACAATAATTCAGTGACTTTCACTTGAGTGTCACCTGTTACACGGTCCTTACACACAAGAATATGCCTCATCTTTGGATGCTTATATTTATTTAGTAGCTATGGTGTCTTTGTGTTTATTAGAAACACCACTACCACGAGCTGCCCCTGGAAGTCCAGGAGACTCTTGGAGAAGTGCCCGAAGGCTTTGTGCACTACTTCACCTCGCGCTTCCCACGGTTGCTTCTGCACACGCACACCGCCCTGCACTTATGTGCACAGGAGCGTCTCTTCCACACCTATTATCCCACGCCATCTCCCACGTTCCTCAAGGAGTAACACAACGTCAGGGTGACAGTCAAGTCACTCGAGATCATCCCCCACTGCCAAGAGTATCACGTATCACACTCCATCCAGAGGGAATGTTCCTTTCAGAGTTACACATCCGTGGAAACTGCAAGTGGTGAAAATACTCTGGGAACAGCGTAAGCACGAATGTAAAGGCAGGCTGGCAGGCTGCCAGCGATGGACAGAGGACGACTGAGGAATTGCAGTTGCTCCAAAGACTACTCATTCTTTCCTATTACGTTCAACTGATGGAGTGTTTCATAGGTGTACATTTTTAGTACTCAAACTCTACCCATAGAAGAGTTACACATTGGAAAACCAAAGAAGCCTTTCAGTCTTTGATGCCAAACAATGGCTTACTTCCCATGGATACGAAGAGATCCCAAGTGTCATCGCTGTAGATGGTAAATTAGAGGAGCCTCTGTCCAATCTTTGATTTAAATTCCCTTAAAATGACACAGGGCTTGCCCTGTAAATTACTTGCACCCTGTTGCTTCCAAATACTGCACGTTAAAAAAAAGTTTAGTTGTTCGACTAACTTAGAAGCATCCCACCCCCTGTGGAAAGCATTGGATTTTAAAATTAAGGAACCATACAGCTAGCTACAGATGTAGAATATGAAGAGCCAAAAGTCCTTATCTATACCTCATCCATTGGTATACATCTTGGACCTTTGCACTCGTAATATAAACCGAAAACTGCTGCTCATAAGGTATACATTTCAATGCTGCTCAAAGAGAGACTGACTGAAAACCAGTCATCTAACCAGCTTTTAAATGACCAGTACACAACTTAGTTCCTGGACCTGATGACTTAGATTTTTACACCAACAGGAAAATGAAACCTTTTCCAAAACATTCTATCTTAACTCAGAAAATGATTTCTAGGAATTAAAGCAAAGAGCATAAGGATTGTATAATGTGGCTTTTACCCTTTTATCTGGAGTAAATTTAGCCTTTCAACACAAATCTTGTACATAGGACTCAACACCACCAGGGACACTTTTGTATCGTTTTGAAATAAATATATTTTAAAACTTTGGGTCCTGATTTTTATTATTTTTTTTTAATTAAATGATGGTGGGAGATGGGAAAATCCTTTCAGCTTACTTCTGAAAACATCTTTATTTACTTGGCATATACCAAATGACTTAAAATCTCATGTAAACATTGTATTTCTCCCACCTAGGATTTTATACAGTGGACTTCTGTACAGAAGGCAGCCGACACACAGAGTAATAACATGATAAGACGACTCATCCTATCATCTTGATTAATATGGGGGATTGCGTACATTTAAATGGGAACCAAGGAAACGTGTATTGAACAGTACATTTTTTACAATACAAATAACATCATTCAAGTATACACAAGTTGGGGGGAGAGGCACAGAAGGACACCCTTTGAACAACAGTTTAACCAGATATTACCCAGCGTAATTTTAAAGGCCTGCATGTTTTGTTAAAGAAATTTAAAAAGTAGGAAGAGTGATGTAGAGAGGGCATCGAGGAGGGGCGGCACCTAGGCATGCTCCACCTCCGCCGTTGGCTTGCGTCCCACTGTGGACTTGCAAGCCATCAGCTTCTCCACCATGGTTCGAGCGTAACGCATGCGGCTGGCCAGCTCCCTGCAGCAGCCGTACTGCTCGATCTGGGCCATTCTGTAGGTGCGGAACTCCCTCTTCTGATCGATATACGTTACTGCAGCCATCAGAGGGCAGAGGATCAGCTTGGTGTGGTCCTGCACAGAAGAAACAGCCAAGTCAGCTTCAGACGATCCACTTACAGTGGCGGGCCAAGTCGGGAACAGGCCGACGATAAAAGCAGCCTCACCTGGAAGAAGTTGATCTGCACGGTGCCGTTGCTCAAGTGCAGCACGATGGCGCTCTTAGTGCGGAACCAGTGGCGCAGGTAGGGCAGGCGAGCCAACTCATCTCCGTCCCGTGGAGTGATGTTAGCCCCAGCCTTCAGAAGGTGCTCGCTCATGTAGTTACGGAAGTACTTCAGCAGGGTGATCTGGGAATCGGGAGCGAGTTTACTATAGACACCCTCAGCTGGAGAAACATGGCCACTTAAAACACCACCTCACGAGAATTAAAATAACCAGTTCCATCTAGCAGTGTGAAGGCTCAAAGGGTTTCAGGACTGACCTTTTTGGTGAGCATGGATGGGTACGACCGCACTCTTAGATACGACTCCTCAGAGTTCCTGTCGATGTACTGCAGACGATCCCCGTCGTCATACATGATGAGCCGTGTGGAGTCATTGAAGAGCACACCCACGCTGTTGTCACAGAGCTGATATCCTGTACAGACAATGTGAGATCTGAGCTCCAGGGAAAGATAGATAAGCACTAGTATGTCTAGGACAGAACTAGCTTTACCTAGGCCATATTTATCAGAGTAGTCCACCCATTTGCTTATCCAGAAGATGGGGACACAGGCTGGATCCTCAGCTTCCTCTACAAGAGGCAGACAAGTTGGCTAAGAGGCACAGTTCAGTATGCATTGACGAGAGAGAAGTGGCAGAAGTGTCTTCTTACCTTGACGGATTACTGCTCTCTCAGAGGGCTTGGTTGCGTTAAAGTTGGCGAGCTGTTTCAACAAGTCTGAAAGGTAACAATCTGCAGTCTCCGACTCATCCCTGCAAAATCATGAGCAATCAATCATGCATTCTTCATACATGTGCAGGGGCTTCAGGATCATGCATGATACAGCGGGGTAATACTGACTTAAGCTGGGGCTCTTTCTGGTCCATCTTTTCTACCTTCTCTACTGGACTGTCAGTTCCTAAACAAAGAAATAACAGCTTACACTTCACTGAATGGCAAATTAAGGGGAGTGCAGTCACTTGCATGCTTAGGGGATCAGCACAACTTAACATCATGGAGATACCCATCACCTGATAGACACAAGGAAAGAAAAATATGGTATCAAGATTTCATATGGAAGTCGGGGCATACATAGGTCTTAAATCCACAGTTTCCAAATAACCTTTATAAGCATATAGAACCCAAATAGATGGTTGTACAAAACCAGCAACAGGCCAGATAAGATTTCTCAACACGGCCCTCATTTGTCTACCACTCATCTGAAAGACGCCATGGATGTCGTACCTCTGTTGATGGCAGTGAGAGGTTTGCGGTGATCTGACTCTAAGGAACTGGGAGCGATAGAAAACCGGGGAGGCACTGTGAGGCAGGTGGTGGGCAGGCGCAGGGGGATGTACCCCGACGTGAAAAACTCGTCCGACAGCAGGTCGCCAATGGTGGGCCGGAGGGTGGGATCAGCGTTTAGCATTCTCTTGATCAGCGAGGCTGCCACTGGATTGATGTGCTGGGGAGGAGAGCATCACATGAGGCTGTGGAAGGCACACAAACAATGTGAGGACTGTGGCTATAGGAGCACGGTGCCACCTACCCGTGGAATCATGTACTCGTTTTTCTTGATGCGGAGGTATGTATCTTTCAGGCAGGATGTCTCAAATGGAGGCTTCCCCACAAGTAAAGTATAGCTGCAGAAAGAGATACAAAGTGATTTAGGGGGAATGATTGGGTACAAGGGGAAAGACATGCAGAGGCTTCAGATGATCCTAGTCACAGTTTGAATCAAGGAGCCCATTCTTACAGGATGCATCCCAGTGACCAGATGTCCACCTCAAAGCTGTGACCCTTCTTGCACAGGATTTCTGGTGCAATGTAATTGGGCGTCCCACACAATGTCTTCTTTCTCTCGCCATCGAACTCAATCTTTGTAGCGAGACCAAAATCACCTGAGAGAGAAACAAAAGCGTCTCTGCCTGGTACAGTAACAGACCGTAAGAATGCAACCGTTTCAAAGTGTCAAAATACAAGGCAGGCGTAGAAATATCCTCAGATCTAAAAAGACTGTGCTCGCCTTACCTATCTTCACTTCCATATCATCACTCAGAAAGAGGTTGCCCAGCTTGAGGTCTCTGTGGATGACCCGGTTGTTGTGAAGGTACTGACAGCCCTGGATCATCTGCCTCATGTAGTATCGTGCTTCCGGCTCAGTCACTGCCTTCCTCCTTTTGTGCAACTCCAACAGGGACTAACGTTTGGAAGAAACAGTTTCCCCCACGTAAGGTCTCCATGTTCAGTACACAATGTCTTTCCCTCATGTGAATAAGGGAGCCAGGGTTTCCCCTAACCATATTCCCAGGGAAACAGTAAATGTACAGGATTTCCTTCCTATTAAATGAAATCGTGTACAAAATCGTGTACACGCTTCAAATAAAAGAAAGACTGACGCCACAAGGAAGCATTGGAAACCCTTGGACCAAAGCACGGACAACTAGCTCTACAGAGACCCAAGAAGCAAGGCGCTACATAATGTAGCGTAATTACGGTCATGCCTGTCAGATATCCGGGATCACTTTGCAAGTACCAATACTTCTGTATGACCGAGTGTAAATCCAGGTACCAGAAGCACTGTATAAATACCTTGAGTTTAACGCAAGGCAGGCAGCTTACCCTTCTCCGGCAGATCTCCAGCACGACATACACAAAGTCGTCATCCTCAAAAAAACCGTGAAACCCCACGACGTGGGGGTTCTCCAGCGACTTATGGATAGTGATCTCCATGGACATTTTCTCCTTCTGGTGAGGCTTAAGCAGCATCGACTTGGGGACCACTTTGCCGGCGAACACCTCCTTGGTGTCCAGATCGGTGATCTCATAGCATTTGGCGAAGCCGCCTTTGCCCAGGAACCGTCCGCGCATGTAACGCTTCGAGGTCCGAGGGTCCACCAAGATATCTGGGATCTCCTTCAGGGGAGCTGCTGCCTTTGGGTCGGCGTGCACCGCCGGCTTCGCCAGTTTGCCGATTCCTGCGCTCATTTTGAGAGGAATTAACGCTTTCTTACTCAAAACTAATTCAAAGGGCCACAAAAGATGAGCCCGTCAAGCAAAGTCAGGACAGAGGGACGCTCGTTAAACCGTAGTCCCAAAGCAGTACTAATTCATAATCCAAAACACAAAATTATTAACAGGAGCTGTCCGGTGAGCTAAAAACCTGTGTTCCAGTTAGCAGTGCAAATAAAACAAAAAGCCTCTATATCCTCTTCGCTATAATATACAGAACTGGAGAAACAAGTTAAAATCCAATGCACTCCACCGAACCGCTGCTCTGCAGTCACTGAAAAGCTGCAACGTTTCAAACGCGGCCCCGTTCGTTAAGCTGCGCTCTGACTGGTTGCCCGTTCGTCAAGCTCCGTTCTAATTGGTTCTCTGGTTTGAATTCCAAGCTGCAGCCGCAGAGCACGATGGGAGGTCTGAGATTTAAATGCCCAGTTTTGGATTTGAAAAAACTTTATTTAATGGACAGAAGTTTGAGAAGTTACGAAGTAATCTGTTTACCGTGTTTTCACTTTTTCCCAGTCCCTTATGAGTTGACGTTGACATGATTTTGACCATTTTTTAGGATGTATATGGTGAGGAACACTGGAATAGCATATAATTTTTTTTACACTAAAGGAGACTCCGGGTCACCCCACGCACACAATAGCAAAACTTCTCACTGCTAGTCTCGCCATTATGAATGTTGATGATGTTTATTATTGTTATAATCATCGATATATTCATTTCATTTAATCCAGCACATATAGATTGCTAAAAAGGCGGCATAATGGTTGAGGTCGCGAGATGTGCAGTCTGAAAATCGTTAGTTGAAGTCCGTATTGACACTTAGTATGTCTACTTTGGCACTTGGTTTTTTCCAATGGCGTTCAAGACCATTTGGTGGTGGTGGTGGTGGTGATGGAGGGGGGGCTGGGGCTGTATGGCGGCAGTGGTTCTGTTAGGGGGGGCAGATGCATTTGATCTCCAAGTATTATTTGCACTAGATTGTTTATTGTTACTTACGCAATGCTTTGCAGTCACATTTTACAGTTTTTAAAAATATGTAAATCTTTCTTGTTTAGACTGTGTTGCTTCCACAAACCTGATTTTTTTTCAGCCGTTAAGAGTCCGTCATGAAAATGTGCTTATTTTTGTGTTTCGCTTGTTCTCAGCCAACAGCATAGCCCCCACCCCAAGACCCGCCCCTGTTTTCCCCCATTTGATGCTTATCTTTTCATTAAAGATAATGATAGATCTATCTAGTCGTGTGTGTCCTGAAGTTGCCTCGTCATTTAGGGTGTATCCTGCTACGCGCCCTCTGTTTCCTGGGATAGATGCCAAGGATCACTGCAACCCACATTGAATAAATATTTGCTGGATGGTTGGATGGATGAATAATATTATATCATTTAAAGTAAATCAGTAGCTTTGCCTATATTAAATAATATCTAAGAATCTCCATATAGCAAAAGGAATCTGCTGTTTAACAACAGAACCTCTCAGAAATACTATAATTTATCATTACTCAATTTCCTTAAGCTCATAAATGTCGAACTAATTTTCCTCTCCAAAGAAACTCGTTAATATAGTACTTAAGGAGAGGTAAAATCAGTTCTAAAGCAGAGCAGTTTCTGTCCCTAATTTTGGTGTTTGAGGGCATTAATAAAAATCGCTTTACAGGATTTTCAATGGAATTTTTGTTCATTACACTTTATATGAAAGGACCTATAAATTATTATACTTTCATGTAAAACTCTGGGTTATTGTTTCAGGTTAATCAAGAAGATATTCATCTTTGTTCTGTTTTGAATTGTGGGAAGGCTGCTAAAGAATATGATATACTAACCAATCAGGGGACATTGAATTAAGCTGAGCTTTCTCCATAATTATACTACTCTTTATTTAGAGTGCCATCTAGTATCTTTGTGAAAGCAGTGCAAGCAAGGAGGGGCCTGCGCCTGTTTATTTTCCATAGACTGCACTAACCCCCCTGCCCCCCCGGATCTCCTGGAAGAGGCGAGGAATTTTCCATACAGTGCGGGTAGTGCTATTTTTGTAAATGCATATGATCAGGAATCAGAATGGCAGGCATACAATCAACATTATAACACAATTATTATGTTGTTCAAAAAAACAAACATATTTTTGTTTAATGTTCTTTATGCTCATATCAATATTTCAGAAAATGATTTCTTTTATTGGCCTTTCCCATCCTTAAAGCATCCAGCAATTGCAAAGAATAATATGTTTTGCTTGATTTCAGTACTTGTGGGAAGCAGGACAGAGCAGTGCTTTATTTACCATTTAAAAGTGATCAGGGGGCTCCTCTCCTCACGACTCAGCCCATTCTTGTGCACTGAGGGGCTCTCATATGTACCCTGCTACTACAAAGAAGGGCCATATAAAGCGGCTGAACATGAGCCCATCTGCTTTCAATACAGTCTTCGTGACACTGGATCAAGAGCGGCTCATTTTAGAAAATAGGAATATCATTATGAAGAAGAACTGCATTGCATCATGTCAAAGGCTCTCTGAGAGGATGAGGTTAAAATTAGCTCCTGTTGCTAATGGATTTTAAAAAATTCAGTGTGTCTGACACATTATGATAAACTATTCAGTGGAGGATGTTACATAGGTGCTATATTGAAATATAAAAATAGCACACGTTGATTTCATTTACTGAGGAGGTGGCCACTTAGAAATCTGAGTAATGCAACTGCAATGTTAGCCTTGATGTACATAGACACTGCAAACCCCATGCAGGGTTGAACCACAGTTCAGCTTTCTGCAATACTGTGGCTCATATGCTGATGGATAGCCATGTTGCTGAAAAGGTCGGCTGAAAGATTGCACTGCCTTCTCACACCACCAGTGGTGGGGCTAAAATCCTGACTGTGCTATCCCCATATCATGCATGTTGAATATCTAAAATAGGCATTTATCCATCTTCTAAACACTTATCCTGATCTTGGGGTGGGGCTGGAGTCTATTCCAGGCAGCACAGGGCACAAAGCTGGGGTGCACCCTTCACAGAATTGCCAGTCCTTTGCAGGGTACATAGATGGGCACACTATGGGTAATTTGCAGATGGAATTTAGTCAGTTGGGCTACCAAAATTTTTGATTGTGATGGTTATCAGGAGCCAGATATACAGCGCTCACAAAAAGTCTTGGGATGGTTGCTTAAGTCAGTAAAAATATTACAAATTAATTGGTTCTACAGTATAACAAAAATCATTAGTAAAATTTGTAAAAAAATAAAAATACATTAAAAGAACCAGTAGCTTGTTGTTTCTGGGGCCCCATAACTGAGAGAGTATTCAAAACGATGTAATGTCAATGATAAAAACTTCCAATCTTGAGAGGTCGGTGCTGGTGGATCGATTGCCCGGATTTATTGATATGGTATGTCAACAGGTGGCCACCCCTTTAGATCCACCACTGCATTTAGTTCATGTCTTTGGACTGTAGGAGAAAACCCATAATTATATGAAGTGAATTTAAAATCTCCATCATTCTGCTGCCCTAAAAATGAAATACAATGAATAGTTTGCTCATTTATTTTAATAATAATAATACATTTTATTTTCAGCGCCTTTCAAAACACCCAAGGTCACTTAACACAACAAATCACAAATACATAAATAAAAAACATAATAAAATATAAATACACAGAATTACCCATAAAATGCACAAAAATATAAAATAAAGATTAAACTGCATATGCCAGCTTAAACAAGTGAGTTTTTAAACGTGATTTAAACATGCTAATATAATTAATCTTGCGAATGTCCGGTGGAAGCAAGTTCCACAGATAGGCTGGGGAATAACTAAAAGCTCTACCACCCATTGTAGTCAGGTGAGTATGTGGAACTGTAAGATGGAGAGATGTGGAGGATCTAAGGGACCGAGATGGTCGATTGATTTGAATAAGATCCGACAAATAAGATGGAGCAAGGTCATGGATAGCCTTAAAAGTCAGGAGCAGAATTTTAAATTGAATGCGATATGCAATGGGAAGCCAGAGCCATTTCAGGTAAAATTTGTAAGCAAGTTGATCTAAATTGTCAGTATCGATTCCTGTCTTGCCCCGTTCTGTACATCATTTCACCATTTGGCCAGCAGGTGTCGCCACTTCAGTTTTTCGATATTCCCAGCTTTGGCGTTGTTTTGTTCCTAGCGTGTTCCCCTGCTCCACATGCTGCTGCGTGGCTGAATGGGCTAAATTGGTGGCTGTGAATTGAGCATCTTCTCTATCATTGAACACTGTATGTTTCGTGCCCTAGATTCTGTTGTATAATCCTTTTCAATTCATCGTGTTTCCTTGTATTTCTGTATGGCTTATTTTGTACCTTTGTTAGTTGTTTCTGTTCGTACCTATTTTTGTTTCCAGTGTAGGCCTAGACCAGGGGTTTGGAACCTTTGGTTTTTGGGATGGCCTCTCAATCAGCTAATAATAAATTAGTGGATATCAACTCCAGGCCTTTGGACCCACAGTTACTGGGTGATTGAGAGGCCATCCCAAAAACCTGCACCCATACCAGACCTCCATGGAACAGGTTCCCCACCCCTACCCTAGACCCTCGTGTTTTATTGTGACTACCTGCACCCATGTGTAATTTGTAATTGGCCCACATCTGCCCCTTGTTGAAACTTGATGTGTATATCAGTGTTTGTCCATGCCCTGTTCCACTGTCTGTCATTGTGAGTTGTTAGTGCTGTGTGTTTTTCCTTTTGTTCTGTTTGTGAACCCCAGTCAGTGTCCCATGTTACTGTTTCCTTAAATGTTAGGTTTGCCCCTTGGTCACTCTTTGTTTGGACCTCTCATGGTCCTTTTGTTTCATGTGTAGTTTGTGTTTGATTTCTAATAAAAGCCCCTTTGTCTGTAAACCACTGCATGAATTGTCACTCCTTCCCTGTGCCTCTATGTTACATGAAGTCATAAGACAAATAAAGTAGGGGAAATTATCTGAAATTCCAAAAAAAAGTCATAAAAACCTGCAATGTAAAATTAAATGTTTAAAGAAATGAAAACCACACGTGGTCTTTACATTTATTGTGCACCTGTTTTGATTGTACACTTCTCACAGAATAATTCATAAATATATTCAATAATACTTTATAATCTACCATGTGAAACAGACAGCTCTGATTTACAGAGTTTGGCACTTTTCAGTCGAAATTTAAAGTTTAAAAACGCCTGTCAAGTCCATTTTTGGAGAGCTACTGATGTGCCACTGCAAAAGCTCCCAGCACAGCGTATGCATCCTCGTCGAACGACTGGGAAGATCGCTGTTCCTCTCATTTTGCTGACCGCGTTGACTTTTATTTCTAGTCCAGCTGTTCCGATCTCAGTCTGTGAGACCTGGAAGCGCTGGGTGGACGCAGAGGGTCGCAGAAGTGCATATTCTGCATCTGCAGGACGACTACGACAATATACAGCTGTTTTGCTTCTTCATCGGGGGTTTTTTGCGCACTCCGATGTTGTCCTGTGGAATGGTCTCCCTGCGTCTTCGTAATGCGGGACTTATACGACTTGGCAGGTTCACCTGGCGCAAGATCTCCTTGAAGACTCCCAAAACGTTCTCGCTGGTCTTAGCAGACGCCTCCACAAAGCTGGCATTCCAGTCGAACTCCACTATGGGCATGATGTCCTCAGTGCGCACCAAACGCTGGTTTTCAAGGTCCACTTTATTGCCCACCACCGTTAATGGAATATGCTTCTCATCTTTTAGTTCAAGGATCTCATCTCGGAGCCTCTGCACCTCATTAAACGACTCCCGGTCATCTACGGAGTAAACCAGTGCAAAAGCATCACCGTTCCGTATGCAAAGCTTCCTCATGGCCGGAAAAGAGTAGCTTCCACTCGTGTCCATGATTTCGATTCGGATTTTGCCTCCATCGACATCATACTCGATGCCGTGCAGCTCCTCGACTGTGCGCTTGTACTTGTGCTCAAAACGATCTTGGAGAAAGCGCTGGATAAGAGCCGTCTTGCCCACCCCTGCTGCACCGAGGAACACCAAGCGGACTGTAGTTTTCTCCTTCACAATCAAAGACATGGCTAAGTTCAGATAGAACCGAATCTAGGAGAACAAATAGTTTGAACGCAATAAGGTATCTTGTTTCTATCTCAGTCGTCCAAGCTTTGATAACTTCTGCCGACCAGTTCAGGCAATTTATTCTATCCAGAATATATGCGTCACTTACATCCTGTCCAATCGCAAAACAGGGGCGTATGTTACAACTGCATGGGTCAGACCAGTCAACCCTGTGTCACTGTCGCGTTTAGGTAGTAAACATCAGTTTCCTTCTCTAAAATAACCCAAGGCTGGTTTGAAGGTGTTTCTAGTAATATGAATATAGCTTAGTCAGAGACGAAGTCAGTTCTCTGATCATTAAAGATCTAATCAAATAACCTTCGGATCATCTATTTCACGTTAGCTATGTAAGATAATAATGTACTTCTGGAAAATTGCCTTGTATTGTCTAGTATCCAGGGGTAGATTTAATCCATTTTCTGTAGCGTGACACCAAGTACTATAGACAACGGCTTTCAGTTCTTTTATTTAGTTTCACTTGGTGAATCTAAAAAGGGCATTTTCCTTAAATGTTCATATCCATCCATGTTCCAACCCCTTATCTTGAACAGGGTGAAGCCGCTCTCAGCCATCTCAGGTTTCCAAGGCAGGGCTACACCTTGGACGGGAAGCCAGTTTATTGGAAGGCTTAACTAGCCATTAATTGGACATGGTTATTTTGACCGAATGTACTGAATTATACCTTCGAATCAATCCGCAGTTATTACCACGCTATATTTATGTGCAGTATCACTTTAACGACCACAAGTCGGCGCAGTTACACTATATCGCAAATAACTCTAGGTCCCATATGGCTTTGATGAAGAGACTACTCCATGTTATTTAGAAATAAAATCTCCATTTTTAAATCATTGTTTAATCCTGGTTCTCCTGTGAGATGGCTACACTGTGAGGCAGGTGAGTTTCTAAGACACTGAACAAGGTGAAGCATGAGACACTGGGAACCACCAAAAACCAGCCAGGTAGAGGGCAGAAGTGACTTTCTAATGCCAGAGATGATCGTGAACTTATCCGGAAGTGCCTCATGAATTGAATGATCTAAAGTGACCTTCAAAAAGAATGGGAAACAGTAAGTGGTGTGAGGTGCACTGCTAGGACCAGTTTGTAACAGGCTCCTAGAAGCAGGATTGAAGTCCGATAAAGCCAGGAAAACTCCCTAAATCAATGTATGTTGTCAGTACTTAGTCAATCTTAGGGCACGACTTCTAACATTACTAAAATTGCCTGGTGCTCAGGTTTCTACATACTAAGGCAGACTAAAATTAAAGCTTTGTGAAATATGTAGTTTAAAGCCCTAATATCAATACCATAACATTATTTACAATATTAAGCCCTACATTATATTAGATAGACACACACTCTACTTACAGCAGAGCCACTGTACTGGTGTCAGTCTGAGATTTAAAACTGTGTCTTGTCACGCTGCTGATAAGAAGTAACTTCACACTGTTTCACTATTCTATGGTTTTCAAGAGTTCTTTATGAGCTGCTGACAAAGTTTTGCTAACCATCTTGATCCTGGAAAATCAAAAATTCTAACTTATTCCGATCAGGGTTGCCTGGTAGCTAAGGTTAAAATGGAATATAAAAATTAATTGGGTCGATAGAGCATTTTCATTTATGGCCATCAATTGACTAAAATATATTAATAATAGAAGTGGAGAATTGCTTGCATTAAATTGTAAGATGGGTGTTATTTTTATGGGGCAGTGGGATTTGTCTTTTCTGTTTACAGTGTGGGCAGTGCATCTTCCTTCCATAAACAAACATCCATGGCCAGTCAGTCGGGGTGTGGCAGTTCCAGGGAAGCCGATTGCTCATGTGTGAAAACGTTCTGTTGAGGCAGAAAGTAAGACGAAACTGGTTACTGTTACCCACCAAAAACAATATTGTTCTTTCACGTCTAAGTTCTTCCTCTTCTTTTAAGTCAAAGTAACAAATGATCAAATGTCATGCATGTGTAGAGAACGGAGTGTACAGAGTGCTGAGAAAACAAGTCTTTTTAATCAGCTACATCATTTTGACCTTATACATGATCTGTTAGTCATTCCTAGTAAGAGATGTAGAGTAGCAGGTCAAACAAAGTGCATTTTTGTCTGTTTTTGATGAACCAGAACACTCGTCGTAAACTGTTTTTTTAGCAGCCTGGTAACACTTTACAATACCGTTCCTTAGTAACTTAGTAGTAACTCAGTTACTAAAGTACAAACCATGAACAAATATAGTAGCTTCTGGAGAAGTTACAGTTCATTAATTATGAACAGACATGAGATCAGTATATCACTTTTGTGTTATTCATTATTTGTCCCTTCAGTAGTTCACAAAGATTTACAGAATTAACAGATATGCTAACAAATATAGTAAATGCTTGGGATAAGTGATGTGGTACAATTCATTTATGATGAACGAACATGATATCAATGTATACAGTAAGTGCATCGATACAACTAATAGATACGTGGGGGTAAATTCCCATGTCTCTTTTTTTAACTCATCTGAATGTCGACAAATGTCATGAAAACATTTATAATTGACATCATTTGGACGTTATTTTGTAGGGTCCTCGTTACAGGATAGGCGACGTCATTTCCGACGTCCTCACCACGTCTTCATGACGTCCTTTCAATGTCCTCTGAACGTTGACAAACGTTGTGAAAACGTTTTTTATTGACGTCATGTGGACGTTATTTTGTAGGGTCCTTGGTACAGGACAGACGTTATTTCCAACGTCCTCACCACATCTTCACAACATTACCATGCTATTTCAGAAACAGCTATACAACGTTGTTTTTTTTGTCTTTTGTAGGACATTTCCAAATGATTTATTAATTTATTTATGTATACATCACACATAAATTCGTAACCTAGAAAGACTAATTTAAAACATCTTATTAATCAAATAAAACATTTCATTAAAAAATATATATATATAAAACAGCATTTTCTAACCACGGCAGAAATGTCTAAACAATTTAAGCAGTTTAACATAAACATACAATTAACCATATATATATAAACAAACCTATATAAAAATGTTATATATATATATATATATATATATATATATATATATATATATATATATATAAAACAAACCATTATAGATGCAATATATAATTCTAAATAATAATATTATAATATATATTTAAATCCCGAGACCCAGATGGATAAAGCGGTATGGATAATGGATGGATGGATATATATTTAAATATGAATAATGCATTTATTCCATATTGCAGTCATCTCACTTTATTAACATCAAAAACTTTAATAACATTAGAATGTTGTTATTTAATGTTAAAGTCAACATTAACAAGCAAATTCATCTGCTTCAGGTCCCTGCTCCATTTCCCTTGTATCTCTCACTGCAGCATCATCCTAGGAGAATACAGAAGAAATTGTTACAGAAGACCATACAGCAGTTTACCTCTAAAACTGAATACATTCGTTAGATAACCTTGTATGGTATGAGTGGGATAGGTGTTATGAACCATGCATGTAAGAACACACATATGTCTTAATGGCATTTATGTAACTATTCAGTGTTAAGATAATTTACATTTACAGCATTTAGCAGATGCTCTTATGCAGAGCGACTTCCATTTTCTAAATTCAGGGACAGTCTCCCTGAAGCAAGTTGGGGTTAAGGGTCTTGCTCAGGGACCCAATGACGGTAGTGCCAGACATGGGACTCAAACCCATAACCTCTTGGTCCAGAGGTGAGCGTCCTAACCACTAGACCACCAACAATATAAAAACATCTCCGTACCTTCCGAGATCCATGGCGTGGACAGTGCTTTAGTGTCACTGCAATTGAATTATCCATGGTGAGGTTGGTTGCTTCAGGATGAGCTTTACTGCATGCAGCTACAGTTTTTGCAAAAGACACACACACACACACCTAATGTAAATATGTAAGAAGTATTGCCTGTTTTGTCTGATCATAAGCATACTTCAGTTTTGCTTAAAACATGTCATGTCAAAGTTATCTAATTTGATTGCATGACTCATGTCTACAGGGTCTTTATATGTCTGTTTTTTAGGTCTTTATTATTATTATATATACTTATATAAGATCACATTGTATAGCTCCAACACCTCAAAGGATCTTTTCCCTTTCCTCCCCTTCAAACTGTACTCTCCCCACAAGGCACTGGTCCCTATTTTCCTTAAGATGAGCCTCACTGTGTCTCCAACATTGTTGCCCCTCTGCAGGCTCAGGTAGTGGATCTACAATACATATTTAAATCAAATTAAGATATAAACACTGCAGAATAAAATTCCTTTTCATGTAACAGCATGTGTGTACTACATATAGAGAAGAATGCCAAGTTACTCATTAGTCATACATTTGAAACCAACACATCCTTTCTGATTACGTAAAACATAATCATGAAAAATTATTCTTCATACAGAAGTCTATTTTACAGTGTTGATGTGGAGGCAAATACCTTAGTATTTTTCTTCTGTATGCCAGGTTTTTTAAGTTGCTGCACAGGCCTACTATATCCTGTTGAGTCTCACATGGTTTCTCCCATATCACTTGTTCATGTGATGGGGAGGGTGCAGATACGGTGCTGAGCGAGTTTTGGGGAGACAAGCATGCATAGAGCTACACTAAAGGCCATGAAATGCTCAAACAACTGGTCTGGAAGAATTTCTTTAAGAACCACCTTTCCTGTGTACAAAGCGAACTGGCGAAATTCTGTTGCTTTCCATCTTTAAAGTTCTTCCAAACCACGTGGCTTCCTTGCAAAACATCTTGGCATAGCACTCCTTAGCTGATTTAATCTATGACTAACTTCTTTTACCTGCACAGGAGATAGTCTTACTGTGGAATGGCCTCTTGTCCACAGGAACAGCAATTTTCTCATAACTCCTAGACAACACTGATGCATGTGGTCAACAGGAAAACACCTGATCATGTCAATTGGAAGATTACAGAAAGGGGAAATCTTTTCCTCTTGATGATGTTCTGCATACGTTTGTTCTCTGAAAGTCAGATCAGTCCGCAGCGTCAGATTTGTCACCTCCAGATAAGTCATTCTACCAAGCCATCTTCCCCTTGGTGTA